CCACGGTACTGAAAAAAAATTCAAATGAAAGGGAAAATATCACACATATGCAAAAATCAGGGAGGAAAAAAACCAATTCAGATGCAACAAGATAGAAAAATAATCTTTAAACATCCATTTTCCCTACAGATTTATACAACAATTATTTTATTATTTTCTATATATAAACTTTGAATTTAAAAGCAAACCAAAAAAAAAAAAAAACAAAAAAAAAAAAAAAACCCAAAAAAAAACAAAAACCAGACAGCTGACAAGCTCTATTTTGGTTCTTCATTGAGGAAAGTTTTTTCTTTAGACAGGAAAAAGTCTGCTTGCATGAGAAAATGGAACTGCCTGGTGGGAGTTAGTTTTAGTGGAAAAGTGAGATAACAGAAGAAAAAAAAAAGTGCCTGTAGAGGCCTCCGTGCATCCTAGGCATCCAGAACTACAAATGCTTTCAGACCCTGATCTTTTATCACTGAAACCTTGTGTGATTGTTCACTCTCCAAGCAGCTGGTTCTTGCTAGTTTGAGCTTGATAAATGGCACAAGTGGTTACATGGTTGTATTTGACAAAAGATGCACAGAAGCTTGGCAGGTTTGCACAGATTTCAGCAATTCCTAATTAGAAAAATAGAAGAAATCATTTCCCATGACACAGCAAGCCACAACCACTGAAATCAGTACTATTCAACTTCCCCAAGTCTGCGAGATCTCCTGGACTTTCAAGGAGAATCACCCTGAACCACTCCTGCCTCTTTTTTCTGATGGCACTGTTTGGAATTAGCTTCTCTAAGGTTCAACCAACAAAAATCATTGACACAGTAATATATTGTGATTTATGCAAAGAGACAGTGCACTTAATAATATGTGCTAGTACTAATACAGTGCACAAAGAGCTGTCTTCTTTTTAAGCACTGCTCTCCTCCTGCTGTGTCTGATTACAAAGAAGCTTTTATTCTTTTTCTGGCAGCTTTTACAAAGTTTTATGTTGCCATGTTCTGTTATCAGCTGTCCTCAGCGAGAAAATGCTATGTACTGTGCAGTTGACCCCCGAAAAGGGGGCCATCTACGGTGTTAAACATAAGCACTAAACCCTCAGAGCTCAAAGTCTTACCAACTAAGCTGAAATAAAATTACAGATGTAATTTGAAGATGTCTCATATCCTAATCTTAGAAATCTGAGTCTCTGAGACCTCCAAACTTCAAGATTCAAGATCTAGCAGTACTTTTCCTGACCACTACAAATATCAACACATCTTCAGAATGTCAGCAAAGATGTCCTACAAAATGTTTTCCTTTAGGCTTTTTTCTTGATGAGTATCAAAATCTACTTTAATGCACCAATTTTCACTAAAAAGCTTTACAAATACCAGCAGAATTTACAAAAGCAGCACAGTGATTGGCAATAAAGCCCTTACAGATGTATTTCTGTGTCCACAAAGGAAGCAGCTGTTTGTTGAATTTAGGATAATGAAATCTTCCTTGACATACACACTTTGAACAACAACATATTGGCTTGCCCAATGTGTATCAACAATTCTTGTTAGTTTCCATAGCTTCAAGGCTTATCAGACAATTTCTCTGCATTTCCCTGAACAAAGTTTGAGCCACAGATGTTGGAAGGGATACAGACGGCAAATACACTAGAGAGCATAATAAATCCCCAGCTTCCATTGTAGACTTTGTCTATGTCCACTAAAACTGTATTCAAACAGTGAACAAAGTAAATAGCAAGCAGAGTTTGTCTAAAAATAGCTCTGAATGCTGTCAGTAGAAGAGATGCTAATGATAGATACATCACCCCTTCTTGGATTCCACAGCTCTAAAAGGGGATTCAATTCCTTAAGTGTTTTCTCACTAAGGAAAACTTTTTCATAAGCTGGTGACCTTTAATACTGAGCAGCAGGAACTGCTCTGCTAATATGGTTACATGAAAGGGGACATGGCTTGAAGGTTATAGGCAAGTTCAAAGCATATAACAATTTACCTTACCAAATATCTGAGATTTAACTGTGCAGTACCTTTGTAGTTAATAGGCTCCTTCTATGCTTATTCTGATCCCAGATATTTTAGGGATAGAAATTTTCAAGGTCTGACTTACATGTTAACTTCTCAAGATTTTATTTCAATGTCATTCTTAATCCATCCAAGTTGGACCCGAGACATGAATGGTGTCTAATCTTACACAACCAGATTTCATGTTTCATTGTTTTGCTTCTGAAGTTGACCTTTTTTTCTTAACTGGCTCAGTACATAACAGCTGCTTTTCGAAAGCCTTCTCAATCACATGATTCAAAGTTCTTTAAGATTTGAAGCTGAGGCTTGCAGTAGGATTCTAATTATTGTTGTTGTTTATTAAGGAATATAACATTTCTATGCTAGGTATCAGATCTTTTTAAAACCAAAAAGAACCAGAATAGTGTTTTACTGATTATTCAAAGAAAGAAATAGAATATAGGTCTGTTAAAGATCTCTAACTTTTTCACTGGTAAGCACTCAAAGACTATTCCTGAACAAAACAAGTCCTAATCACAGCATTGAACTTAACTGTCAAAAGATTATTTGAATACAAAGGAATTGGGTAAATATTTCAAAAAATCATCTGAGGATAAATTCAGGGATGGAAGAAAGCTAGATTTTGTGAAGTTTCTATTTACATATGTAATCTTAAATATTTTCATGTGTAATTATATTTCCCATGTAACTTGGAAATTTACTTGTGCTTTTAACTAATAGAGTTTTTCATTATTGAATCTGTGCTAAGCAAAAATAGCTGCCCCTAGAGAAATTATATTCTACACACAGAGACCAGGTTTTATCCATTTTCACTTCATCTGGCAGATTCATAACATACTCAGTTCCTGCAAGCCAGTTTGTCCTTTTCTTTTTCAAGGAATATATTTTTCATCCCTAGTCTGCACTTTGTAAAATATATTTAATCATGATTCTTCTCAAGGTGTTGCAAATGCTAAAATAAAAATAGACAATGAGCCCTATTCATTTGTGCTGCATCTCTGATAAGAGATTAGAGGTTTTGAATTTCCCATGGTAACTAGACTGGCTGAATTTTTCATTTAACAATAGCATCATGAATTCCAGTTTCAGTCATTTAGGAATAAATCTATTACTTTAAGCAAAGTTACTCCAAAGATGTCCATTCTACAACTCCTTACACCAAGTGAGAAGACCAGTGTTCTACTTGAGGGGTTGTAGCAGCCCTGCCTTCAGAAAGAAAAATAATCTTCTGGCTTGGGTGAAAGGTAAAAAATTCCCCTTTCCAAGAAACACTTGGCAGACACTTTCCAGTGTCTATGGCTTTAGTACGGAAGGATCCAGAGAAAGGAGATGGTTTTTGGGGATGAAGACTTATAACCATACATATATATATATATATATATATATATATATATATATAAAATATATATATTTGGGCACAATTTCTATAGTTTATAGAAATGTTTGCTGTAGCTTTGATCAAAACTAAAGAATGCTTGAAGTTAGTTGTATGATTAAATTCATATGAAACATTTTAAATTTTCGCATACAGCTCATTATTTGCTGGATTGGACTGTTATGGGAATGAAGGGTAATTATTTATTGCAAACATATTTAAGGTCCTTCCTGCCATCTGATAGCTGTGTGTGTTTATGCAGGGTAGCAATTGATTTTTTTTTAAATGTAAAATATTTCCTTACTTTTGGTACAAACTGCAAATCAGAGAAAAAACATTAAGTTACACTGCAGTGTCAAGTGCAATCACAGATCTATTGACATGTGACAATATCCAAAACCTCTCTGGATGGAGTTACCTCTTCATAAATTACTGCAAAAATATTAAATAAGTGGGATTGAAAAAATGACTCTTTTGAAGGGAGGGAAATGTGACTACAACTTATCTGCTACAGAATAGCATCCTATTATTTTTGGCTTGGTAAGCCTAGTTAAATAGTTACATGTTAAAATCTTTATGAGAATCTTAATTATTAATGACATCAACAGGCTGGAAAAATGTAGGTTAGGTGTGGGGAGAGTCTGGCTCTGCAAAGACATTAGTTAAAAGCAATTTTTTTTTTTGGATGACTGAGCACATGTGCACACAGACTAGATAGTCACACTTTACAATGAGGTTACAGTTATAAATTATTTATAAACTGTTGGTAAACACTGTAGGCTATTACAGAATCCACAGAGCCCATAGTTTTGTTATAGCTATGTGTAACACCCTCAAGTAATGTGCAACCACATATAATTTATGAAAGTAATATCCGTGGTATTGTTTATGATGTGTATTAATAATTTACTAATCCTTTATGAACTATTTATAAATGCAATCCTAATGGAAGGCATGGCTGACTAGTTACTCCATCGCACTAACTGTATGGGAGTCAAAGGTTGCACACCTCTGCCCCTCCTTTTTACCTAGCCCAGTACTCTTTAGACAAGGAAACACTCACTATTTCCTTACAGCATCCTAGGAAATTAAAGATCAGAGAGAGGCATTGTAAAGAGATTTGCTTGCAAGAAAATGCATAGGATTTTTCAATCTTGTCCAATATATCAGTAGAGCTACCATAGGTCTCCTTTGCTGGGTCCATGAGAAAAAACTCCTTGAAGATGATGTGTGTATATTAAAGTGTGCAAAGTCTTGATTCTGAGGGATTATTGTACAGTTTGTTATATATATAACAAAACATGGGCTATCAATCTTTATGGTATCCATCGGAAAACGGGCAATCAACAGAATGGGCAATCAACAGAAATGAGTGCTATAGTCTAGGCTGCCATGATCTCTAGGAATAGATCCTGCCTTGCAGGATTATTTTTCTGCTCCAAAGCATTTATGCCAGACAAGGTACAGCTACTTCTGCTTGCAGCAGGCAAGCTTCACTAACTTTCATGTGCCGGCACAGTTTTATTGCAGCTCTTTGCTTCTTTATGCATGCTGTGAAATCCCTTGCTGAGGCATTGCATACCAGAGTACCATCCCCACACATTAATTCTTCTCTTGCTCTTCTGCAGGAAACAGATCTCATTCTGACCTTTAACATCTCAATGCACCGTTCCTGGTGGATGGAGAATGGGCCAGGCTGCACCGTGACCTCAGTAACCCCAGCACCGGACTGGGCACCAGAGGATCATCGTTACATCACTGTCTCGGGGTGTTTCCTTGAATATCAGTACATAGAAGTGGCTCACAGTTCTCTTCAGATCTTCCTTGCAGTAAGTGTTTACCAGTAACTTCAATTCCACCACCTTTTCAAATTTTCTTCTTGTCTTTACTGGAATAGTGGATGGTTGTGGCATTCACTCACAAACCCTGGCTTTAGGTCTTAGTTTAGTTATGAAACTCAGTTGCCATTCAACCAGTTCAAGATAGCTGCATGCAAAACTTTCCAACATACATATTTATTTTTGCACTAAGAACTACTGACAGGGCACACTCTGTTTTCCTGATACTATAATATATAAGTTTTGACATAATAGCAAGTTACAGCTATTGTTGTGAAAGCCAAATTAAATATGAAATTGAGTACAAAAGACAAACCAACAGTAAAAATAGATTCACTGATCAGTTCACAGGATTTAAACTTATCAATTTGTCTTTAACCATATTAATTGACACTAGACTACAATGGAGAGGTTTTCCCTCCTGAAAAAGTTACACTTGTATGAAAATCAAAACCCAATATCTTAAATCTTTTTAGAAGTAAAAGAATCCATTGTTGCACTGCAGAAAATTTATAAGGGATGAAAACTGTTTGCTTGGGGGAAAAAATGTATAATGGAGCTCACAGCTATCCAAAAAGTGGGCAGCTTTTCCAGCTATCTATTCCCCAGCACTTTATCACTCAAGCTTGACTCATGGAATTATAGCTTCATAGAATAATTTTGTTTGGAAAAGACCTCTAAGATCACCAAGACCAACCCTTAACCCAGGACTGCCAAGTCCAGCACTAAAGCCTGCACTTAAGCACCTCATCTGCACATATTTGAAATACTTCCAAGAAAGGCAACTGCACCATTGCCCTGGGCAGCCTGTTCAAGTGCTTGGCAAATCTTTTGGTAAAGAATTTTTTCTTAATATCCAACATGAAGTTTCCCTGGTCAAGCTTGATTTCCCTTCATCCAGACCAGGATGCCATTGGCCTTCTTGGCCACGTGGGCACAACTGGCTCATGTTCAGTCAGTGTGGACCAGCACCCCCAAGTCCTTTTCCAGCAGGCAGCTTTCCAGACACTCTGTCTTGTATGCCTGTGGCAGTGCCTACGGTTGTTCTGACCCAAGTGCAGGACCTGGCACTTGGCCTTGTTGAACTTCATACAATTGGCTTTAGCCCATTGATTCAGCCTACCCAGATCCCTCTGTAGAGCCCTCCTACCCTCAAGCCTTCAAAAACAGTTAACCAGGCTATTTTTTCTGCTTTTTTTTTTTTTTTTTATTTAATGAATGATGAACAAGAAACTCAAGGTATATGTAGTTCAAGCTCAATTCTGCTCCTGATTCAACAAAGTTTTTTGTGTGTCTGTGTTTAAATAGAGTTGTGTTTTTGGATAAGCTCATTCTTTTCAAATCAGAATAATGGTTCAAAATAACAAGCCATTAGTAATCTGCTAGCTGCAGCTAACTATATCTGTGTCATATTTTCGTTCATGTTACTCTAACTGTGGTTATCATAGGTAAAGATCTGCACAGCATAAGTATGGGTCAATTTTAAAAACCTTGTGCTTGACTACTGTTCACATCACTTTCACATTTCCCATTGTGGCTAATTTTTTCTAATATAAATGCTAGTGTAAATTCACTCCCATGTTAAATGCGATTAAGTGGGAAAAAGAGGAATTAACTGGTAAATCTCAGTGACATATAGCACAAAGTAAGAAGAGCAGATACTGTTTGTGTCAGAAAAATTAATCACAAATTCCAGAGGTTTGTATCCAAAAAGGAGACAGAGGAGTCTTGTTACTTTATTTGAATAAAGGCAGAGGTCATGGGCATTTCCCATGGGGTCTCTCAAATTGTTAGAGCTTTCAGCCTCCTTTTTATCTTAATTTCCCAGCCACAATTCACTCTCTCTTTCCCCATTGGCTGAGGTACTTGAGAGGTACAGACTTTCCGAATCACCTAATACCTAAGACCCCCTTCTAATATATACCTCCCCCCTTTTCTTTTCCTTGTGTCAATCAGTGGGATTCCTAAGGAATTGCATTGTCAGTGGAGTTGGACTAGATGATTTCCAGAGGTCCCTTCCTACTCTAACAATTCTGTGAATCTGTGATCCTGTATTTCCATGGAACAACTCCCTCATCTCCTGCCCTCCCCAGTTCTTGATCAATATCATAGCTGAATCTGCAAAGGTGAGATCTTAGCTTCATCACACTTTGACATCAATAGCTATTTAAAGCTTGCTGATAAATGCAGAAAAAACCCATAATTTTGGCCACAACTAATTCAATATTCTTGTTGGAGAGAACTAGCCCTTAATGTAGCCTGTGCTCACATACTCTCCATTAGGCACTTCTTTCCTAGGGAAGTCTCATTTACAGAGCTCCCAAGTCTTGAGCATCTGATCCATCCAATGTGCTCTGCAAGGACCACAACTCTGCCTGCCCTTATGTCTACAAATTACCAAAATGAACTGGTCTAGAGGTGGGATGACTCATATACCCGTATGCTTCAGACAATAAAGTGTCCTTGTGTGTTTAAAGGCTATTGATTCTTGTTGCTTGCATTAGAGGAGCTATTTCATTTTCAGGCCTACTGGGTTATCAAGGATAGATATACTTAAATGACTGATCTCTGGAGAGAATTATTCCAGGTAAAGAATGAGGTCAGTGGTACTAATGGGGATTTGATTTGCAGCTATTTGAGCTGCATTCTGTATGGTATCTGCAGAGTGGACTCTGACTGAAACTTCCTACCTCTAAACAATAGGAGGTGTAGCTGCCTCTTTACCATGGGGAGGGCAGTGCCTGGGAGGGACACAGTGCAGGTTGTAGACCACTGTTAATCTTGGCATGTTGTGTCAGGGCTTAAGGTAGTCATTGGCACTGCGTGTAAATAGCCTTTGCATCCCAGCCTTTTGTCACGCAGCTGAAAGTTTCTCATAAGCTGGCAGTTCCTCAAGCACTCACACATATCAATGTATAATTCTACCTACAGAGCCTATGTACAATGTTCTTCATTTCCACAGTTCATTGAACTCTTGTCTTCTAAGAGAAGGTGAAATCTTTTCAGTTCAGGCCCTGAGCTGAGGTTCAGGTCAGAGGGTTCTGCTTCCAGATCTATCACAATGTTCTTTTGAAATAATTTCATCTCTCTGTGCCTCTTTCCAAGTGCGGGAGAAAAAAGCATGCCTAAATTTTTCATGTTCATTTCATAAGACTCTGTACCATTTGCCTAGATAGAGATCTCTTAAATCTTTCAAAAAGCCCCTAAATATGCAGGACACCCAGTACAGGAAGGTCTTTGTGTGGAACAAGGAAATTATAATGTTAATTGCATTTCATACAGAAATTGAGCTCTGATTCTCTGCATCTTTCTTTTGTCTTTTTTGTACTCTTTGATTATGCATGACCTGCCCTCACTCCCAAAAGTCTGTTCTTGCAAAAGTCAACAAATTAAAACACATTTGTAAATCAAAACTCTGAAAATATGCAAATTGTAGATCAGTCTTGGAGATAAGTGTAACAGAATGACAAATCTATTTGCCAACACAGGATTAAAAGTATTTAGTATGCTTGTCTTTTACTTCTCACACACTCAAAAATCTATTGATTTTAGTGGAGATAAGTGCCTGAGTTATGGGAATAAGACTAATGTGAAGACATCACCTTAGCCAGTTTGGGTTTTAGTTATATAGACCTTGAAAAGATGAACTGTGTAATATTATTCCAGTAAAACAAGTGGAAGAAAGGCATTTCTTATGTACTGCATCTGCATTATTGATGGTAATTTACATACCGAATAAATAAAACCATAAGTAAACTCTTACATAAAAGTATTGACCCTTTTCGAAGTGATCCTGTCCACTGACTTTTATGTGCTATATATTAGTCTGAATTTCTTTTTCTTCCTTCCTGTGTTTGTGCTTGAGTATATGCTTCATGCAATCATTAGAATTATTATTTCATGCCTCAAAATATGTAATATGTAATTACCCATCCGTAGTATTTACAGTAAATGTATACTGTTTGGATTTCTGCAAAGTCTGCATCATGCACAATACCTTTCAAGCCCTGGTGCTGTCAGACTGATTTAAAACATCATGAAGCATAACTGTGTTATTAACATGCACTAGTACAGCTATGAAGTTAGGACACCAGCATCAAAATCTCTGCTCTGTTGCAGACTTACCATAAAACCTTTGGCAAGGTACTTAATTCTAGCCAATTATTGTCTGTACTATACAAACAGTGGTTCTTAAATATTTCAGAAAGATGCTGCCAGGACAATTCCATTAAACATTGCAGGTAATCCAATATTATGGAAAGGTGGTCTGTGTATGTATTTAAGCACTCAGAACAGTAGAATAGCATTAATGTTCCCTGCTTCTCTTAAGGATTAATAATTAGAATAGGATAGTCTTAAAATCTTTAATGTTTGCATAGCACAGGTGACATTAAATACTCTCATGCCTGGTTGGAGAGATAGGAGTGCTCAGTAAAAGTGTCCTTTTACAAGAATATATTTACTGAACTGTCTACCTGTGTTTCAGACCTCCATGCTTAAATATGTTACTCAGAGTTAACACTTAAAGGCCCTCAACATTGCTGAGGAAATATGATTGGGAAAAAAAAAAAACCAAAAAACAGTGGTTCCCATCCAAAAGAACTAACCTTCAAAGTATAAAACAAGCCAGCCAGCCCATATGGAAAGGAAAGGAGGAAAAGAAAGGAAGACAGATAGGGAACAGTAGTTTGAAGTTTCATTGGACCTCCTGTTTGACCCTTGTCAGCATTCCTATAAGCATGATAAAAAAGTTTCAGAATGAGTAAACTTCTGATAAATTTTATCTGCTGGAAAATTTTCCTAAAAAGCAGCAAAAGACAGAAGTGTGTGAAAGTTTGAAATTTAGGAATTAGCTGACAAAGAGCTGGTGTCTCATTAGGAGTGCACTCTCATACTGACAGGAGGGGGAAGCCAGGGGGGACAGGCCGCAGAGATTCTTGCAAGAGAATTAAGTAGTTGAATTTCACTGGATGAAACTAAGGAGAAGAAAT